AAAAAATCTGGGATTGTTATTGAGAGCAGCATTCTGCTTATCAACTGAGGAAAAATCTAGCATGTTCAGATATTTTACATACCTTTTTTTTTTTTTGTCTGATTGATTTGTCACTGAGAAAAGAATGCCAAAATAATTTTCATTATGGCTTTATCTATTTCTCTTTTAAATTCTGTTATTTTATTGCTTTATATAATTTGACTCTGTATTATTAGGTACATTCTAATTTAGAACTATTTCTTTTTTTTTTTTTTAAGTCAAATTCAGCCGTGGTGGGGAAGCAGGAGTGGCATCTAGTTCCTAAATAACATGCCTCTGGAAATCCTATGAACTTTGATAAATGTTGGTACTTGTAGAGGGGCTTTCATGCCTTTTGTTCATAGGGTCACTATGAGTCGTGCTTGATCTGAAGGCAATCAACAACAACAATGTTAATACTTTAGTCCAGCTGAATTTTGAACTACTTCTTGAAGAGTTAAGCTTTACCCATTATGAAATAACTCTTTATTACAGTTAACTTTTCCATTCCTTTTACGCTGAACCCTTGCTTGGTAATTTAAGAAAGCTATGTATGACTCTTATAGGCAGCATATAAAGCTATTTGGTTTCATTTTCTTTCAATCCAGCTTGACAATATTTGTCTTATAGAAGGAAAATTTACCAGTAATTAATGTAGTAATTAGGGAGCTTTGGTGGCCTAGGGGAAAGAAATTGTGCTGCAATCCCAAAGGCACACAGTTCAAGGCCACGAGCTGCTCCAAGAAAGATGGGCAATCTTCTCCCATGCCATTACTGCCTCTGAAAACCCTCTGGAGGGTCATTTATGGGTTGGTTCTGACTCCATGATTGTTGCTGTTGTTGTTCCATGCGATTGAGTTGCCTGCGACTCATAGCGACCCTATGTACAACAGCCCTAAACTCTGCCCTATCCTGTGCCAATCTCAGTATCTCTGACACACCTACCCCCATTACCCCAGTTGCTAAGTCAATCCATCTCATCAGGAGTCTTCCTCTCCTGTTGCTGCTCCTGTTCGTTTTCTTAGCAGTCTATGGTATATTCAATATTCTTCTCCAGCACCACAGCTCAAAGGCATCAATTCTCCTTCTATTATCCCTAGTCATTGCCCAGCTCTCTGATGCATAACAAGTGATTGCAAAGACCATGGCATGGATCAGGTGCACCTTAGTCTCCAGACTGACATCATTGCACTTCAGCACTTTAGAGAGGTCTCTGAGACAGACTTTCTGATCACAATATGTCTTTTAATTTCCTGGCTGCTGGTGCCAAGTGTGTTGCCTGTGGAGCCAAGCACACCAAAATTGTGAACAATCTCAATCTCTTCACCATCCATTACGATACTGCCAATCGGCCCAGTGGTGAGAATCTTTGTTTTCTTGATATTGAGCCTCAATCCATACAATATCCCTACGAACACGGCCCTGTCTAAATCCAGACTGCACTTCTGGTAGTTTTCTGTTGGTGTGCTGTTCCAGTCGTTTTTGGATAATCTTCAGCAGAATCTTGCTTGCATGTGATATTAATGATATGGTTCAATAATTTCCACACTGTGAGACTCCACGGTACACAACAAAAACAACAGTATAGTAATTATTAGTATATCTGGGCTTAATATTATCTTATTATTTCCCATTTGTTTCTCCTGGCCAACAACTAGTGTCTCTCCTTCTTTGCCTTCTTTTGGATTTAGCATTTTATTTTTTTATATTACACACTCTTATTATTCTTTCAACCTCTTCCTTCAAGAAGAAAGCCTTTGTTCCCCTACCCTGAATGTGGACTGCTCTGAGTGACTTATATCTAATGCAGAGTGTGGCAGAGAGGACAGTGCATCTTCTGAGATTAGGCCATACAAGTCATTAGGCTTCCTGTGGTCTCTCTGGATCACTGCATTTTTTTCTTAATTCTATACTGAATTACAAAAAGCAACAAAAGAATTGGATTAAAAAAGATAAACCATCTCCTTATAGTGTTCCAAATCTCTATGGTAATTAAAGCTTCTGAATTGTAGTAATGCTATCATAACATTACAGTAGATTAAGTATTGGGCTCCTAACTAAAAGGTCAGCAGTTCAAACCCACCAACATCTTCATGGGGAAAAAAATGAGACAGTTTCCTGCCCAAGGACTTCCAGCCTCAGAAAATCTATGGGCCGATTTTATGGCTGTCCTTTTGAGCCACTATGAATTGAATAGCAGTAAGGTTTTTTGGGTTGTTGGATTTTTTTTTTTTTTTACATTTTGAGTTGTATTTTCTTTTTTTAAAATAATTTTTATTGCGATTTTAACTAAAGTTTACAGAAAACTTGGATTTCCATTAATTCATTGTTGCACATTTTCCTTCCTAGCCCCCTTAGCTTTTTTTCTTTAAAAAATTCATTTATTGCTGTACAATTTCCTGTCTCCCCTTGACCCTCTTAGTAGTTGTTTATTTTAATGTTATCAAATAGTGCCACCTTGTGGAAAGTACTAAAGAAAGGTGTTTCTTAATTATATTTGCTCAAATGCAAAGTAAGCACTTTTGGAAAAATATTTAAATTAGAATATATTTATGCACACATACATATACAGATCTAAAAGATAAAAATCTATAAGAAAATGTTAATCCAGCTCTTTTTTTTTT